TTTAGAAACATGACCTACATGACGATTTGGATGTATAGATGAGATCTGAGATGTATAATATAATCAATAATGTCTAGAACTTGCGATATCGATATGACCGACGTCACATTAATTATATTTGAACATTTTGGGTTTCATTAACAAATTAATTTTATGAACGCAACAGCAAAATATGATTGTAGAAATGAATATTATTAGCCGTATATATTACTTTTCGAACAATTTCGCACTATGGAGAGCGACTTTCCTCTGGATAAACGCTAATTCTTGAAACAATAGCGATTCGAATCCATAATTTTGAATTTTTACCAAAAGTACGTCTAAATTGTAACGGTTTGTATTAAAGGTGGTGTCATGTCCAAACTTATTCAACAATTCAGCGACGATATCTGTGCGATGATGTGAAAAAAATTAATACATTATATTCATCGAGAGTATATTTTATTAACTCGATGGATGCCCGTAACGTTGGCCACCAATAATATTAGTGATTAGTATTACGGGGAAAGAAGAATATATGGAAATTATATTTGTTAATGAGCTCCGTTCAAGCCGAAGTTCCGTTCGCATCGTATTTCAACAGCAAATCGTCACGTCTAACGCAAGGAATTTATGCTTGCCGACGAATTTTATAAAAAATACAAATGGTGAAACAGATTTCTTAAAATTATATACCTTCGATGGGCGTGTAATTTATATCGCCCGATGCCATTTCACACGAATCATCCGCCTCGTAAAAGTTCGTCTGTGTACCTATCGTCTGGTAGTTACACGTATTTGTCTGTACGCCTACCGACTCGCCGATCGAAGGGTCCGTTTGGACGGCTATCGATTCGCCGACCGAGAAGTCGGTCTGGACACACGTCGATTCGCCGACCAACGAGTCCGTCTGGACGCCAATGGACTCGTCGACCGAGGAGTCGGTTTGGATACCGACGGAACAGACGGTTGTCGACCGTACCGAGCTGCAATGGCATTTGTCGAACACAATGTTACTCATGGCCGCGGCAAATTGTCGTTCGTGTTGGTCCGCTGCCGAAATACTTTTGATCTGCAGACGAAATGTTCGCAGTGTTTATTTCAGACACGTATCCGACAGAAGGGTAAGGAGGTGTTGCGCAAAACCCGATCCATCCCTTCCGCGGCGGAATCGGAGACAACCGAGGAACCGAATGGGAAAGAAAAAAAACGCAGTCTTCGAACGTACCGACCGACGACGGGCACGGGAAGAGAAACTCGGCCAGGTACGAAACGCTGAAGAGTAATGTTTGCGAATCGCAATCGATTGTCACGTAATTGTTTTTTACAGCGTAAAACGCGACCATCGGTAAAGCATTTACACGCGCACGACGCACAGTGCACCATCGTCGTGTTGAGGGCATTTTTACCACAAGAAAAGGGAACCCTGTGCTGGACGCGATTTTCCGCTGTACCGGTCGTGGTGTACATACCCGGACGAATTCGCTTATCGATCGGCAGGCGAACCGGAACAACGTCAGTGGCCGGACGTCGCGTTTGCCGACGACGTCCCTCAGCTCCGACGCCCAGCGGATACAGCATTTTTCGTAGTTGCCGATCGTGGCCGCGCGGACGTCCGCCTCCTTCGTAACGGCCGACAGCTTGGCCACCACGTCCTTGTACTTCGCCCGCAGCGCCGCCGACAGCCGTTCCGAGTTCTCGTACAACCGCCGCGTTCGCTGCAGCTCGTGCCTCAATCCTTCCGACTCGGCTTTCATCTCGATTATCGTCTTCGATTTCTCGTCGCATCTGGCCTGTGACGCGGAAACAAGCGTTACTCATTCCGTGTCACGTTCTCCCGAAAACGATTTACGGGGGCGCTATTGCGTCGTATCACTTACTTTCATCGTCCGAATAGCGTCTTCGTACGTTTGCAGAACCGCGTTCGGGCTATCGTTGTCACTGGAATACCGTGCTGCGGGCCGGACGGGGAAGCGCGGTCTCCAGTGCACGTTCCGTTGACTTGACTCCCGACGTTCGAACGTTGCTTTTTTCTGATAGTCATTTGATTCGAAAACACTTAGAACCACTCGTAGAAAAAATCTCAAGACCACAACTACGTCGATCATTTTTTTAGATATTTGTTTAAAATAGGTTAAAACTTAAAATTATACTCAATAAAATGCTGAGATTTAACACTAAACACTTCTGTGAATATTATTTTATTTACTTAATACATCGGTTTTACGATGCTGTTATTGCTATGGAAACTGATATTCGTCGAAGCCAGTAATGTATTTTTCTTTTTCACGTAGTTCTCTTGTCGGCTATCGTTCTTATCAAAAATAGTTAAAAGATGTATTAATGATACAGAAGTAGTATGAATAATATTATTATTGCCATATTATATTATAATCGATTAAATATTATTGTACAGATTGGTGATTTTTAAAAATCTAAAATGTTTGATAACTGATGGACGGTATGCTGGGCAAAGAAGCTAGAATACTAGACGAACTGCTTTGATCGACAATCCTTGAATACTTTTAATATTGACTGTTGTTTATAAATAAAAAGAACTCTGGCCAAATGTATACATTTAAAAATACATACATTTGCTGAAAGTTTATTTTTTTATTACATATATTTTGGTTTGTTTTTAATTAATATATTACATTATATAAATGCAATTACATATTTTTATATTATGACTAAGTATTAATGTTTTGGGGATATTTAAGAACTTCAATTGCATAGTAAATAGGTACATACATTATTACAAAACTGTACGATTTGAATTACGATTATGAGTAATAATATTAATTATTAATAAATAAACAATTTTTAATAATGGCACAATAAAATGCAATAGATTTAATGTGTATTTATGAACTATAAAAATAACTTGATATTTTTTTATTTGTGCAAGTAAAGTTTGAAATTGGTTAGCTTGATTAAGATGACGTCACACAAAAAGTGAAATGTATATAACGACCCAGAGAAAACAGCATTATTATTGAAAACTTTAAATATTTTTAAATACTTATAACAAATATTCCTACATACTCGTATGATATTAATTTTAGTGCAAATTAAATGTAATTTTTGCACATTTGGCATTCATGCCATATAACCGGAACTATTAATTTTGTTTCTCAAATGGGAAAATCAGTTATTTTAATCAGAAATTGATACAGCGTATATTAAAAAAATTACCAACATAATTATTAAAAATTATGAATAATAAAGCCACTAAATCGTTTAATATTATTTGAAATAAAAATAATACAATATTAAATGCGTAATAAAAATCTTTATTATTGTATCAAAAATATTTATATGTGTATTATATTATGTAAGTACTTATATAGCTGTAACATTTTTTTTTTTTTATAATATATACATAGAAATCGTATGAATGATAAATAATCATATGGATTTAATATAAATTTTAAGTTTTAAAGTATTAAGTTAATACACACTGGTTGTGTATGTATTTAATATAGTATTTCTTAGTAGTTTCTGCAGTAGTTGATCAAATCCGACCGTGTATAATTATAAAAATCAACTACGCATGTACACACAATACTCATCGTCCGTACATAACATTATAATTATAATAACATTTTATATATAGCAATTAATTAAAATCATTTTTATGATTTTACTAACATAATTGAGTGTTATTTATGTAAGCTACGATATTACATTGATGGTTAAGATTGCGTAATTATATTATGTTATGTATACCTTCACAAATTAGACAATTTTTAAAACTAAAAACTCTTCTCTGTTTATTTTGAAAAACGCTTTTCGTCACACTTGAAAACCGATTTATGTACGAAATGTTTTTTCGTTTTATGAAATGTAATTACAGAAATGTTCATCGGTCAGCACTTTTGGTTTTAATGAAAAAAAAATGCTCATATATAATAATAATGTGGGTTGCCTGTTTGGAAATGACCATTATTCATATTATTCAAGGATCATTTAATAAAATATTTTTAAAACTCTGCAATAGGTAAAAAAAAAAAAAGAATGTAAATATATTATTAAGTTTTTCCTCTTATCACAATTTATTTAGGTACATAATGACGTATGAATTTTTGAATCTGTCAAAAAGTGAACTAAAAAATATCCCTTTCCTTTATTGAGTTATAGATCAAATCATATATGACTATAGTTATTTTTTTTTATTAATTATTTAACTATTATGTGCAACCGAGACTATCATACCGATTTATTTTACATTTTGAGACAAATTAACTTATTACTATGTATTAACGCAATAAGTATAGATTTTTTGAAAATTACATTTTAAAGGGTACAAACTAAAAATAATGCAAACATTTTTTCACTTTTTGGATACCTATAGAAAATATTTTGTTTCGTTTTATATGTTGAATTTAATACACTAATTCAGATGAATGCAAATTAATTTAATATTAATAAGTAAAAATAAATATCATTGTAAAATATACGATGATTATATTATTTTTTGATCTTTATAGTTTTACTTCAAAATAATAATTGCTCCAATTTAAATCAGTAAAATACCTCTTGCGTTAGGTCGAGTGATTCATCATCTATGTTATATGTACACGAATATAATTAATTAAAAATATACTTGTTTATGTACTACATATTATTTTATTACGTCGTTTTATAATATTATCTCGTTGTGTAAAGTTATATTATGTCATCAGGACCATACATAATTGTATATACTTATTTCAATTGTTACGACTGTTATGAGATTACTTATCAAAGTATTACTACAATAAACGCATAAACAAATTAAATTATGTAACGAACTGCGGGAACGAGAAAAAATATTTCTGGTGTACCTACCCTAGTTGAAGAAAAAATATGCGAAAGGCGAATATGATTTGAAAATATTTACAACAATTATAAAATATACTTGAAAAAAAAAAATAAATATATATACAGCAAAATATAAAAATAAATACCAATATAACATATTTTGTACATTTCTAAAACATTTTTTAAGTTATATTAAGACTCATCAGTCGTCAAATATATTATCTACTGGTTTCTTCACGATTATGATGCGAAAAAAAGTAAACATTTTTATTTAACTTTTTGTTTTATTTTCTGTTTAAACGTATGTCTTCCTTTTTCTTTTTTGTACGTATTAATTAAGATCACGTTGAAAACAAAGTTATTCCTCCACACGAAGTTTTCAATCCAATGAGGCCCGTTAGATATGTTTTCCGATATTATAAAAATGTATATATATTGCATGTGTTTGTGTCGCAGAGCCAGTGGCGTAGCAAAGGTATGGCGGACTGTGTCCACGCCAGGGACGCAAATTGCAAAGGGGTGCAAAATTGGGCAAAAGTCGTATTTTTATCCTACAATAAAATCGACATTTCTCCATTATACTTTTTGAAATACGTAGGTGTGGTCTATTTGTACACACTACGTGTGCATTTAATGATGAATTAATGAAAATAGATTATTTAAATAAAGAATTTCATATGAAGAAATTATCGACGAATTTGCCAGTCATAAAGCGAGAAAAGCAAATTTTCAAAATTTAATATTAACATTGTAATAATAACTTATAAGTGTAAATTGTATACATAAAAATATTAGTAAAATTAAAGGTCAAAAAAAATATCATGACATCAAATTTTAATTAGTTAGGAAGGTAAGTTTTTCTAAGTTTTCCAGGGGCGCTAGCCAGTCTTCCTGCGCTACTGCGCAGTGCATAGGACGCGAATGTGAAAAAATTCATTTTTCCCCGTACGGTGTACGCGTACGACACTTTATATGGGTCAACTGTACACAACGTTGTACACAGTAATCCTAATAATAATAACAATAATTTACGTTACACGCACTGTACTAAAATACATATTTATGGCGCACATTAACGCCGTAAACTCGTAAACAAACATAATAATGTGTATGAGCGTATTGTGTACGCGACTTCGAAACGGACGTGTATACGGGATAAACAGACTCGACCGGGGCTCGCATCGTCACGATTCGACGGGATTACGCCGCTATGCTGTAAACAGACGTTTTATGAAATACAAAAACTCACCGCGCACACACGCGGTACGTGCCGACACACGTCACCTCCTCCGCCGGCCGTACGCGCATATATCCGTCGTCGATGGTAATAATAATATACTTGCGCGCGCGTATGCGTTGCTCGTACGTTAACAGCGCGTGGGCGCGTCGCGTTCGAAGTCGTAAACGTCGCGGAGGGAAGAACGAAAACAATAATAAAAAATATGAAAAATGGCCGCCGATTTACGTTGGATATACGTACGCGGTACGTGTGCGTAATGTATTCGATTTTACCGGTACCGCGTACAGCTCATTGGTTTCGTCTTCGGACAGGGCGCGACTACTACTATTGCGACGTGTACGTGCGTTATAGGTACGTTTTTATGTAAAGTGTGTTCA